CATAGATTTCACCAAAAAAATCAGGATGAATGAGGATGCATATTCGTTTGACATCAGTGTTCTTCCCATTTCTTCAGTTTGTTTATATATATTGTTAATAAACATAATAATAAAAAAAAATGTTCATTGTGGTAAATGAAATAATAATTTGATCTAATTAAGAGTTTTTTTCTTCACAATTTGTAAAAACTCCTTACATGATAGAAAAAATTAATTATTTTCGAGACCTGCATAGCTGAATTATGGGAAATCTGTTATTAAAACCAAAACAACTTTTATGAAGTTTAAATTTGCAGGCCTGTGTAATTGACAAAGTGTATTATTTCTACCTATATATTCAGTATTGGTCTAAACCATAGTCTGCGATGAATCATGTTATTTGCTTGCTGTAATATCTAATTCTTTCCACACACAGTTCTGTTAAATAGGAAACTCCATGTGTGTGAATATTTAAGGTATAATTATTTCTTTTCAAAAGTTTATTGATGATAGGTTGAAACTATTTTTAAAGAGGTTTAAGAATAAGTTTCAAATGCTCATGTGGTGGTGCTGCAAATGTTTATTGTGGCACTACGATAAGAAGGAATTAAAAAACAACACACAAACAATGAACCTCTTCTATAAATATATGTAGTACATACACTATTGTGTATGAATGTTACTTGAGCAGAGGGTTGTGAATAAAGTGAACTCATTGTATTGTATCAGTCACTCAGAACATAAGACACATCTAATAATTTTAGTATTTTTAAAATTGTGATCAGGATTTTGTCTTCCTTATGTTTCAACAAGGCATGCAATGAATTGAACCAGGTGTGGATTGAGTCAGGTGTCAGTGAAAATGCCGTGTCAGGTCACATTCAAGTGGTCATTCCAGGGGAGACTGCTTGCTTTGCAGTAAGTGGTGTTTAGATAGTTGTAATAGTTTTAATGTAGTATGTACTTTTATATTTTGTTCTTATTTAGATTTTTAGATATTATTAATAGTTTCTAATGTTGTATTTACTGTAATACTTTGTTCTTATTTAGATGTTTAGATATTTGTAATTGTTTATAATGTTGCATTTACTGTAATATTTTGTTCTTATTTAAATGTTTAGATATTTGTAATAGTTTCTAATGTTGTATTTACTGTAATATTTTGATTTTATTTAGTTGTTTAGATATTATTAATAATTTCTAATGTTGTATTTACTGTAATATTTTGTTCTTATTTAGATGTTTAGATATTATTAATAATTTCTAATGTTGTCTTTACTGTAATATTTTGTTCTTATTTATTGAAGTTAGAACATGTACAAAGTAAGGAGTACAAATATGAATTTCATTTTATTATTATATATTCAAATCTTGAAGAGCGTTCTTTGCAATGAAGACATCCAATGTAAAACTAATACCAAATGACAAAAAGTGTAAAATTTACTTATTCACTTCTATCTTTATGAAATGTTGTTGTGATTATTTATTCAGAACTTTTTCCATATTTTGTAATTAAAAATCAGCTTAGAGAAATACATTTTGAATAACTGCAGTACTTTATACAGTACTAATAATTTTAAAAAAATTTCACTTTATTATTCATCTAATTAATTTTGTTTTACTAAACCTTTGCTATAACCTTATTTTTGCTTTTTGATAGAAAACTTTTATCAAATTTATGAGACATTATAATCATTGTTTGCTTTGTAGTGCAAGTAATAGTTTCCTGCCTTTTTTGTAACTCAGGATAATAATCTCTAACTTGGAATTTTCCACTCATTTTAGAAACATTTACTATCGAAATTATAAAATTATGTATGTAACATATAAGTGAATATCTTTGTTACTTAGCAAAATATTTATTCTCTTACTACTGTTTACCTCTCTGTTGACTTTCTCTTATATTGAATTCTGTTTTAAGGAAGAACGGTGTTGGGGGAAAATCTTTGTTTTTGTCTAAGGTTATAGATTAGGAACTATGTTCAATAACTGTTGTATTCTCTTAAAACCTCCTTACTTATCATCTACCAATCAAGATATTTTTTACAATTACATTAAGCATTATATAATTCAAGAGATCTTTTGTATCTAATATAAGTTAACAACACTCCCCAATGGTATGACATTATATTTAAAGTTCTGGTAATCATGAATAGTAAAATACTTAAGTTCACTCCTGTTTGCCAAAATAAAAAACCATTATCAAAAACAGAACTCAAATTTTTCATAAACTTGTACACTTCTAGATTTCCTTTTTCTTAGCATTATTTCAGTTGTAGTAATTATACTTGAATATTAATTAATTATTTATTATTTTGATCATGCTTACTCTTAGTTGTGTTATGGCCTCACTCATGAGCTTGTGTCAATTATTAAATGATTGTAACAAACAAATGAGAAGACATTTTTTATCTGTTCAATCCAGAAATGTCTCTGGCAACTTCGCACTGGGACACTACTTCTAATGGAAGTTCCCATGAACTCTCGCTTGCAATGAATATGCAGTTAGCTAATGAGTGAGTGTGTTGACACAGAATCACATTAAAGGAATCTAGGTCATGTTTTCACGACGGCAAATGTTGCATCTCACAGCAACAACAGCCAGACTGTTTAAGAAAGCACCCCCTAATTACGAAAACTTTTAATAAGATACAACAAAATCCTTAATTACATAGGACTATTTAGTTATTAATTACATTTTAGCAATAATTGATTAATAAGCAATCATCAGTTGGTTATGCCTAACCAAACATTATTTTATACCCATCATTTTGTTGTAGATATCCCTGATTTTATTATCAACTCATCAATTCACTGTTTCATATAATAAAAAATAATGTCTGTCTCTAAATCATATTTATTAGTTCTTCCTTTACAAAACATCTCTGAATACAATATTTTTTATCGACTGTTCTTTTTCTTCAAGCTTAATATGATTGCTTTCATTGAATTGTGCATGTGTGAATACATTTTGATCAACACAACCTATAACAGTTATAATGACTCCTTGCTTCTATGAAGAAAATAGAAAACTGTTAACTTGTACATACAATTCTGCTGATGATCCAAATGTTTTTTGCATGAGTGGAGAGTGAAAATATATTAAAAGTTTTAAGTCTAAAAATAATATCTATTAAAAGAAATAAAACCTATAACATTTATAATGTCTACTTGCTTTTCTGAAAAAATAAGAAAACTGTTTGCACGTACATACAGCTCTGACAATGACCCTACTATATGTTGGTGTGAGTGGAGAGTGAACCTTCAGTAAAAGTTTGAAATTTAGCAGCAATAACTATTGGTTGACTTTGTTCGGGTCTGCGTGAGTGCCAGTTGGGCTCAACTTGACCAAAAGTGTGCAAAGCACAGAAACCCACTGTGTTACTTTGTGTTTAACTTTAAACAAACAAGCCCAAAATTTGTTAGGGAGGAAAGCATATGGGAAGGATGAAGAAATGATTTTAGTATATAGTAGGATTCCCATCACTTTTAGGTGTCCATGATTTTATAACCACTTCTTACCACTTCATTTTACAAATTTGTGATTTTTTTAATTAATTCTCACCACTTCATTTGAGATTTCCAAAATGATCCACTTAACTCTCAGTTATTTGTTCCTTGTTACCATTGAGATTTTTCACACACCACTAGCCTTGAACTATGTACCACCTAAAGCATGTGTTTTGATGTGAACTGGACTGGTACCTGATTTAATTATCATGTTGCAATAGCTTTCTAACAATAAGGGGATTACATAGCATGGATAATTAAGTCAGGTGGAGGGGGCAAAGTATAAAACTACAGCATGAAAGCATGGAATATAGAGTGTGAAGAGACATGGGACATAGGAGAAAGGGAAGGCTTAGGCATAGTACAAACTTAATACAATTGGCAAAGAGAGAGAGAGGAATGACATGTTCCTCACATTGAATGTTGAGGCCAGATCAAAACCTGGCAGTGGAAAGGGCTGGACAAAAATATCAACTACATGGTTGAGCTCTGGAATGAAGAACACACAGGAAACATAGGAACTGGGAAAGAAGGCAAATCCATTAAATGGTAAAAACTGGCAGTAACATCTTCCAAAGATAAAGATCCTTTGGCAACCATAAACATGGTAGAAGCTGTGACGAGTTTTGAGGCATTACATTATATGGTATCTCGAGTTCTACAAACAACCATAGTATAGGACATTAACTAGTCTCCTTTCAGAAGAAATTTCGACTTCAAAAACAGAGCTAGTACCTTGGGATGATGAAGCCGCAGAAACATGAGAGTTCATGGTATAGAACTTCTAAAAAATATCCTCAGAGTTTTTGTTATTTTTTCTGTTGTATGTAATTACTATTATTTACATATAAGGATATGGAAGGATTTCTTTTAGCAGGGTTGAAAAACAAGAAAAATAACTTTAACACAGCTTATAGTTTACCACTGTTCAGAAATGAACAAAAGTGAGAAATGGAATTCTAAATCTCACAGAAGTTGAAAATGAAAAATGGACATGCGCTGAAAGAAGAGATAGACAGAAAGACATTAATTGCAATATTAAAGATTACTAAATCAAATCAATCACAAAGGTCAAACAAAATATTTAAAAAATTATACACATCTGTAAATGGAAGTGCCAAATTTAAGAGTGAAGATAAATTTCAGTGCTTATGGGGATCAACTATGGATGGAGGATGTGTCTTCCTCCTGTTGCCACATGATGATTACATTATGTACTAGTGCATTCAACACATAATTTAGGTGGGAGATAGTTTAAGGCAAGTGACATGCATAAAAGCTCAATGGCAGGCACACAAGAAACAGCTGCTGTGTAGAGAGGTAAGTATATATCAAAAATATATTTTCAGATAAGGAAAATGTTAACTTTCACTATGTTTTGTAATTTTTAGTTTGCTCTTTTTGATTTACATATATGACAATAAGTGTTTTCAAACAGGGTGGGTTCATTAAATATTGATAAACTGCTACAAACACAATCATATAGTTTGAAAATGTATATATTTTTATTTCACCTGACGTAGATTGTTTTTAATTTCAGTGTGCCCCGCCTTTAGTTGTAGCTTCTAACATTGATGAGAAGACACTAAAGAAAGAAGGGGTTTGTGCAGCAAGTCTCCCTACAACAATGGGTATTGTGGCAGGATTCCTTGTTCAAAATACTCTGAAGTAAGTTATTGTTTTTGACAACTAAAATACAATATGTATGAATTAAATTTTATGTATATATATATATATATATATATATATATATATATATATATATATAT